TCGAGATGAGCCCTTTTTAAATGTGTTTGTTATTTTTATTTTTTCATTTGCAAGGTAGTACATGAACATATTTACATATTTTGAGATTAAAAAACCTTAAAGCCAATACATCTGGAACTAATATAATGTTATATGTCAGTTACTTCTCAGCAACAACAAACAACCCTGTAAGTCTTGTTGAAAAACAACACTCCCCTTACTGTTTCTCTTTACCTCCCAAACCGACAACCAGAGGCAGCGGAGTTCACTTCTTTTATGTGCTTTTCCACATTGTAATCAATATACTTAGGCTACAGTTCCTTGGTTTATGAATTCTAGACAGTGTCAACTTGATACGATGGTAGGTGCGGCTGTAGTTGTCTTACCCCTCCCTCTCCACTCGGTCTCTCCCGTCTTCCCAGTAGAGTGAAATTTCCATTTTTGGCTCTATCAGCAGTCATTGTTTACGTTAGTAGGATGACATAAATCTTTTCTACTGCTCGTCCAGGTAGTACACTTTGTTTCCTTTTTCATACAAGTTTTTATTCTTCCTAGAACTAATAATTGCCTTGTTTATATTTTTATTTGCTTAGTTCCTGTGTATCTATCGCTATATATTTTTTTCCAATATTGTAACATATCTGTCAAACAACTGAAAAATAACTTTTCCCGAAAGCTAAACACAGCAAATCAATCAGTGCCATTTTCCGCTCTCTGGAGATTTCTCTCCCATGGCTTTCAATCTTCTTGTTCAAATGTGGGCTTGCTGTCCAGGGCTGCCGCACAGCTGTCCTTCTGGAACATCCTTTCGTTAACTCCTGGGAATTTCCTTAGTCTCCTAAATCCTCTATTTCCTGTATCTCAAGTCTTCCTTTTTCTTCTTTTACTTCCGCTTTTTTGAGGAGCAGATTCTCCAGTAGTTTCCTGAGAAAGAGTACACATAGGAGGTAAAATTTTTGAGCCTGTGAATATCATAAAATATCAAAAATAATTGATAATTTGGGTGTAATGTTTTATGTTGGAAATAATTTTGCCTCAAACTTTTGAAGACAATTCTCCACCGTTGTCTGGTTTTCTGTGCGGTTGTGGGGAAATCTGATGCTATTTGACACCTGACAGTTGCAAGCAAATTTTCTTTGCTTGTTTGTCCTTTTGGGGAAGATTTTAGAATCTTCACTTCTTTCTGATGTTATGAATTTCACTTATCATGTGACTTGGTGTGGGTCTAGTTCATTGCGCTAGCCCCTTTCAATGTGGAAATTTTTATCTTTTCATTTTTGGGCATTTTAGGGGAATTATTTGTTTTTACTTTCCCCCATGTATTTTCTCTGTTCTCTCTAGGACTTGTAAACAACTTCACTTTTTTCTTTTTTTTTTTTTTTTAAAGATTGGCACCTGAGCTAACTGTTGCCAATTTTTTTTTTTCTGCTTTTTCTCCCCAAATACCCCCAGTACATAGTTGCATAGTTTTAATTGTGGGTTCTAGCTGTGGCATGTGGGATGCCGCCTCAGCGTGGCCTGTTGAGTGGTGCCATGTCCGCTCCCAGGATCTGAACCGGTGAAACCCTGGGCCGCCGAAGCAGAGCGTGCGAACTTAACCACTGGGCCACGGGGCCGGCCCCACAATTTCACTTTCTAATCCCATCTTTATAGAGCTGTTTAGACCATAAGCCTCATTTATGGCAAATGGTTTTCATGGCCACCTATCATTTTGGAGGAAAAGGCAAAGGGGCCGAGATCAAGTGTAAATCTAAAGAATGATTTATCTTACTCCTACTCAGGGTTTTCCTATAGAAATCTTGCTTTTACAATATTTTTTTAAAGTAAAGCAATTCTTACTGGTTTTACTTCCTTTTATTGTTAGATGTTAATGCTTTTAAATCCCAAGAGTGTCGGCATGGTGGCTCTAAGTAGTAAAGGCTGCCATCACAGCTGCTGTGCATCAGCTTCCTCACTGTGAGACCCGGATCACAGGAGAGTCCACCCCTTAGTCCTGTTGTGAGTATTAAGTGAGGAAGAACACATGGAGTGCTTGGACCAAACACTGTATGTAAAAAAGTGCCCGATAAATGATAGTTACCTGTTTTTATCATTATTTGTGATCCAATTTGTGTAGGACTAGTACTGTCCCCATTTTACAGGTGAGGAAGCGAGGCTCAGAGAGGAAAAGTACTTGTACAGGTGACTGAGCTAGCAAGTGGCAGAACTGGAACCGCCTTGTCTGGCTCTGAAGTCTGTGCTCTTTCTCTGCTGCTGCCCTCCCACTGAAGGTCTTCCTGTCTTTCCTTCCGTATCCTTTTTTCTACCCCTGGGTACAACTTGCTCTCCCATTCTAAAACAATGGTGCGCAAGGTCAGTGTTGAATCACCAAACACTAGAGACTGTGGACTTCCTTGAAGACGTTCAAGGACCCCAGAGACAACACTCTGCCCCAAATACGTTAAACACTCGCTGTGTGGAGGAGGGACTGGAGCAATGCATGTTCCACATATGCTATTCTGTGACGTCGTGGAAAGGCTAGGGTTTGTCTCACCTAAGGCTGTGATGATTTCCAGTTGGTGGTGCATTGAGAGCATTGCTCGCTGATGCATGCAGCATGTGTAAAAACAAGGAAGACATGGTGTCCTCTCCAGAAGAAGTGAACTGATTGGCCATCCGCATTCTTTGTGACACTTTCCAAGAAGAAAAGTTTCCAATTGTGATTGTACAGGCAGTAAATACATTTTCCCGGTCAGTCCCTTAGAGTTCAGTCCCTTGAAGCTCTCCTGACATATCCTCCTATTGTGGCCAAAAGCTATGAGTGCTGAATACCTTCCAGATCCTCGCACGTCGCCCTGCCCCCCAGCTCCATCCTGTGCCGAGGAGTGTGGAATGCTCAGCAGAGCTGGCTACAGTAGGTTTCACCTCTAATTTTGGAACTGGAAGTGGTTTTTTTTAATAAACTTGGACATACTTTTGGACAGGTCCGTTGCATTAAACAGCCTTTGAACTAGAGATAATGTAAATTAGCTTGAGCTGAAAAAGATCATTGCCTTTCTCACCATTCAAAACCTCTTAAGATTTTTAACAAATGGAAAAAAGTACAAACACTGAAGGAGGGGATGGGCTGTGTTATTCTTGTGATTTTGAGCATATGTCCTAGAAAAGAAAATGCCCAGGACAAACAATTTAAGATATTGAGACTATGAAAATACAGGAAACAAAAATATACAACAAAATTTTAAATACTAGTCAATCTGTTTCCTTACCTACCTCATACTTTTCTCCTTGAGAAGCCAGTTCCTCAGGCTGCTTTCACGTTTTTGACACTAATGAAACACCTAAGAGTCTGGAAGCTAACGAATCAGGCTGAAAGGAAGTACATCATTTCCCCACTGTGTTCTAAGTCCTCTCATCTCAAGGTTACCAAGCATGGGCTGACCGGGTCAGCCACATTAAATAGTTGGGTCAGAACCAGAGGGAAGAGAAAGTGCTAACTTAGATTGGGTGCCTTCTAGGAGTCGTGCACATCTGGACCCTTCCATACATTTGTCACTGAATTCCTCAACTTAGTGAGGTAGTCATTTCTGTTCTCACTTTATAGGTGACGAAGCTAAGTAATTTAGAACTTGTCCAACGCTACATAGCTTATAGAAGAGGAGCTGAGCTAGTCTTGTGTTGACTTTAAAATTTATGCTCTTTTTACTATATCATAATGCGTGTGCACTATGCACACACACAGCACTGTTGCAGACTAGCTGACCTTTGGAGAGGTGGTATATCATGGTTAGGAGGAAACAGGCATAGAGCCAGGCTCCCCCTGTTCAGATCCTGTCTCTGTTAGTTACTAGGTGTGTGGCAGTACGCAAATGATTGGACCTAAGCTCTGCGATTCAGTTTCCTCATCTGTAAAGTGGGAGAATATCAAACCTATGCCATGAAGTTATTGCAAAGTATGAGTTTTATATGAAAAATATTTTAAATAATGCTCACATAGAGGAAGGATTCTATAAACAAAATTGCTTCTAAAAGTCCAGTATGGGGAGAGGAGTACTATAGATAACCCAAGTAGAGTGGTCATTGGAACACTGGTATTAAACAATCTCGTTTTTTCAGGCAATCTCATTTTTAATATGACTGATTACCATGTATATTTATTAATAAGAAAAGATGTTTATTTCGTATGATTTACACACTGATAAAGGTGGGCACACCTGTTGGTGGAAAGCCCAGTGCAAGTCTCAACAAGGCAACCCTACTGCAGTGGGAATTGGGGGGGCGGGGCGGAATGGGCTCCTGGAGTGCCATATTCATAAAGACCTGTCATAGCAGTGGTTGAGAACTGACCCTCCTAACTGGAGGAAATTTTTGGCTGAAATGCCTGCAGATTGATTTATTTTATTCTCAAAGTCATTATAACATGCATAGGTGAATATTTCTAAAGCCACTTAGTGGCAGTAATCTTTACACATAATCTTTTCATGGACCCCAAGATTTCTGCACCCAACCAAGGATACTTGGGTGCCTAGAAGTGGGACAGTAAAGAAGAAAGGAAGTAGGAGATTTGGGGAAGGAGAGGTGAGTGTGTGAAAGTCCAGAACAACCATTGTCAGAAGGCCTGAGCCAGGGAGCAAAGCATGCAGTGATTATGTCTAGTTCTCATCTCTCCACTGGCCCTGCTGCTCTTGGCGTGAATGCAGAAGGAAGACAGAGCCTGAGGATTGGGACCACATTATGAACATTGTGTAGCATACAAGGATATGGACTGGGGGTCATGGCACTTGGATTTCCAGCTCAGCCACTTGCTCTCTGTGAGATCTAGGCAAGCCGTGTGAAATGTCTGGGCTTCTGCACATTAGGACAGTAACATCCGCAGTTCCTTTCACTTCTCATGTCCTATGGCTCTCTTCTATGGTTCTTTTGCTCTTTGAGCCTGGAATTAATCTGGTCAATCAAAGAAAGCATCTGGTTCTACAAAGATACACAGATGACAGTGTGAGAGTCAACAGCCACCCATCATCATTCTTAATCCCTTTTGTCAGTTCCAGGTGGTGTGTACTACCCCTGGGACAATTTGTCCCTCTCAGCCAGCTCAAAAGGACCATTGCCTTAGACGACACAGAAGATGGATGTTTTCACCTTGACCTTGTTGGCATACCTTCATTATTCCCACCCTTCCAACCGATACTCCTCTTCCTCCTCCCCACCTGAGGGGCAAGTGGAATCAAAGGCAAGTGGAGATCCTCAAGCAAACCCTTTTTACTGTAATTTATTAAATTAAACAATTGTTTCCCAAGGCTCTGTGACCTAAAGTCAGAAAACTAGCTGAGTCCTTCACAGGAAAATATAATATTAAGAAAAATGCAATCCCAAAGGTAGTCAGGGGAGAAAAAGAACTTTCCATTTTGAATTCTAAATGTCAAACAGCCATTCTAGTTTTAATTGCAGGGCAAATAATCATTATTTGTTGAAATTCTTCTGCAAATAACAGTTTGTTAAGGCTTTTAAGGAGAAATTATTTGGAGAATGTATTTAACTCACTTTCTACTTAAAATTCACATTAGAAGAACTATTTTAAGTACAATGAAATGCCATTTTAATAATTTCATGTATTTTCGTGATGGATAGCTACTTTAAATTTACATGCCAACCATGTAAATGCCCTTAAGTGACTTTTCATTATCCTGAATGAAAGATGGTAGGCAGTTTGAGATATCAATGTGAGTGCAATGCAGGCATGTCATTTATAGTTTATTAAACTCAAAGGATGCTAATCAATCATTACATTTAAAACAGCATCCATTGGGGAAGGAGATTGATTTGCTCAGATAAATTATTTTTTAGAGTTAGAATTAACTCTAAGAAGTACTTAACTTTAATAAGTAAATTGGTGGTAAGAACACACAATTATAGTTGCTAAGGATTAGTTTGACCTTAAGAAATAACTGCGCCCCAGAGCTGAGTGGAGCGAGGTCTTTGTAGGATTTCCTAACAGACGGACTGGCGCTTGCTCTGCTCCTCTGGCATAAACAAGACATGGACACTTCACAGCAGTGTAAGCCCTGAAGCAGTGTGTGCGTATTGACAGGTAGACTTTGTATTTCTTTGGTTTTGCGTTTAAAAAACAGGCTTTTCACTGAAGCTTTAATATCAGAAGGAATGACATCAAAGTAGAAGTAATTTCGTCATGAGCAGTGACACCACCTTTTAAAAATCATATTTGTGAAAGAACATGAAATTCTGTTGATTCTTCTGCTGTAAAAAAGTTGACCTAGGTCTTTAAGTTAATTACAGTGACTATAGATGAGTTAAATAACATTTTTAAAGTAATTATGTTTTTTCACACAGCTAATTTTTCCAAGGAATGCCGGATGGATGTACAAATCGTTTTGACCAGATTTTGTCAGCAAGGAATCAGGTTTGTTTCAGTGGGCGATCAAGCTCTTTGTTTCAATCAATTCATATTGTTTACCTTTTGTGAAACACATATTTCCGGTTAATTGTCATGGCAGTGTTTTAGCTGATTTGGAAGTTGATAACTTTTCTTGGAAAGAAAAATGTATAAATTTGGATGTAAAATCAGTTTAAATGATTAATCCATAATTTATCCTCCATAATATATCTGTAATTTATCTTGGTATTATTTTACAATTTTATGATATTTTAAAAACTGAAAAAAATAAAGCTTTATTACATATGTACCGTGTTTAAGAGTCATTTCATTTTGTGCACGTTTCACATTACCAACTTTAATTTTAGGTATGTGTTGAGGCCAAACCTGGCAGGACATAATCTCATTTGATGTCATTTAAAAACTAAAAGTTATGTGGGATTTTAAGTTTTAAAATATTTCTTTCAGGGCTAACTTATAAGGAATGCATTCAGTAATTTATTCAATATTCATCCCAATAAATAGCTATTGAAAGTTTATTCAATATAAACCACTGAGCTAAGTCATGGTGAGGTTACAAAAAGGAGTCAAGTATAGCGCCTGCTTCATGGGAGTACCTTTGTGAGGCTAATTACTTAGCTGATGTAACAAAGAGAGCCAAAATACAGTGGCTTAAACAAGCTGGAAATATATCTATTTCCCCTTTACAGTCCACAGGTGAGTGTTTCCAGGGGGTTGAGTTCTGCCACCCTAAACATGTGTCTTCCGAGATTGCTCCAGTCTTCAAATTTTCCAGCCAACAGGAAGGAGAAATTCAGGGCAAGCAACTTGCCGTTAAGGAGGTGACCTGGCAATGCCCACTCCTCATTGGAGTGAATTGAGTTTTGCAGCCACACCTGAGGAATGTAGTCTCTAACTGGGCAGTGGGCACCCAACTAGAACTTAGGGAACACCATTACTGACAAGAAGGGGGACTCAGCAATTAAGGGGGTCAAAATATTAATATATGCAACAACGTGGATGAATCTCAAAAAATTAGGTAAAGCAAAAGAAGTCAACACAAAAGGTTAGGCGCTGCGTGATTCCATCCGTGTGAAACTCTGGGAGAGGCAGAACACGGCGTGGCAGGCTGGTGGTTGCTGAGGTCGGGTCCTGGGGTGGCGATCCCCGCAAAAGGGCACAGGAAACTGGAGGGTGATGAACATGTTGTAGACCTGGATTGTGGTTACATGACTGTGTACGATTACCAAAATGCCGGAAGCTCTACACCTAAAGTGAGTGAGTTATGATTGTTATTGCAACTGCTGCTGTAGGTATTAGTGCCTTGAGTGGGGTTCATAGAATTTCAAGAGAGCTAAGAAAAAAAAAATCACTGACTAAATTTGGAATTCTTGAGCCAAAAAATTAACATTGCTTTGTTTTGTTTGAATTGTTTTATTTTTTTTAAAAAATGGCAAGTACATGTATTTGTTAAGATCATTAAAATGACTATTATTCAAACAACCCCAAATCTCTGTAGCTTAACTGACAAACAAACAGTAAAAGATTTATTTCTCATTTACGTCACAATCCTGCTGGTTGGGTTGCTCCTCTAGCAGCAGCTAGGGTTCTAGCCTCTTTCCTCTCACAGCTCCACTGTTTTCTGAGACCATGGAGTCCTTTGGGATCTTGGAATCATCTGCTAGATCCCCTGCAGCCAGCCAGGGCCAGGCTTACAAGTGGCACGCACGCTGCTGCCCATATTCCAATGGCCAGGACGGGTCACATGACCGGCCCGAGAGGGAGGCCTGGAACGTGGTCTTCTTGTGTGCCCAGAACGAGAGTGAAGTGGTTAGTGAACATACAGCACTGCGTCTGCCACAGTCCAAAAAGTTACAAAAAACAGAAAAGTTCTCCTTGGTCCCAATCTGGAAACAAAAATAATAGGACTCTTGATTTATTTTCTTCTAATCTTTTTAATCTATGCATTTTAACATTTTATCATCCATGGATTATATGTATAATTTTGTATATTTATTTTTCACTAAATATCACTATTTTTTTTTATCATTAAAAAGTTCAAATCCTATCTCTGCAACATACTAGTTGGGTGAATTTGGAAAAGGTTCTAGGCCTCCGGTTTGTCTGTTTTAACTTAGAAAATGTTAACAGAAATGGTACCTACCAGGCAGGGCTGTTGTGAGGATTAAGTGAGAGGATTCATGTAGAGTGCATAGTATTGGGCCAGACACATAGGAGGCATCTAATTCTGAGTCTCTCTGTTTAATAGCATTTTCTGCCTACTTCTTTTTGCATAAACAGCACACTGATTTAACCATTGCAGTTTTATAATATGTGTTAATATTTGACTGGGCTAGTCCTCTGTCGTGTTTTATGTTTAATAAAAGAATTAAACTGTTTGTGATGATTTATTCTCCCAAGTGAACTAGAGAGTAATATTTTTCCTGTAAAAGTGTGTCTTAGCCTGGCTTCTCCAGAAAGTAGAAGCCAAGACAAAGGACTTAAGCTTATTAGGGAATGCAACCCCAAGGGGCACTGTGAGGGACAGAGGTGAGGCAAGGAGGGACAGAGAGCCAGTACAAGACCGTGGCTCCTAGTTCCCTGCTGCTCTGCACTCCTGATGCATCAGTGGCATGGTACTGCCCTCTGAGACGTACGTATGAACAGCATCTCAAGCCAGCCAATCCAAGGGGATGAGGGGAATGTTTCTGCCCACTAACCCTTATATCTCATCCGTTCAAGTTTCACCCCACTGGGAATCCATTCCACACACTTCAGGCGTGAGCATAACCCAGTGCCGCCCAGCGCGTCCCAAGGAGTGTCATGCCCAGGTATCAGACAGAAGCCCTGGACGGAGCCCAGACAAAGCCAACACAGGAGAGTCGGTGAAGCTGGGACCAGAACCACGTAGATGAGGCTACGAGCATCTGAAGAGATCTTGAGAGAATGTAAATTTGGGATAAGAACATCTAATATTACCTGGTTTTCCCATTCTGGAACATAGCAGTAACATTTCCAGAAGAGAGTTATCCCATTTATTCCTAAAGGCGTGTTCCCTTTGATTTGTCTCCATTAAGATTAAGTTAACAAAAAACTGTATTATAAAGGGAGGAAAGGGGAACTCTCAATGAAGAAATGCTGCCTCCTGATGTGACCACAAGTCCTTGTGAGGTAGCCTACCTTAGTTAAAGAGAAAATGCAGAAATTAAGGATTATTATTATTTTTTTTTAAAGATTGGCACCTGAGCTAACAACTGTTGCCAATCTTCTTTTTTTTTTTTTCTGCTTTATCTTCCCAAACCCCCCTGTACATAGTTGTATATCTTAGTTGCAGGTCCTTCTAGTTGTGGAATGCAGGAAGCCGCCTCAACAGAGCCTGACAAGTGGTGCCTGTCCGCGCCCAGGATCCGAACCCTGGGCCGCCGCAGCGGAGCACGCAAACTTAACCACTCGGCCACGGAGCCGGCCCCAAGGATTATTTTTAAAGTCAGCAGATTTGCTACTACCTTTGGGGAAAAGACCTCGCTTGTTCCCTGGAAGAGGAGCCTAGGATTGAGGGTCAGTTAGCATCCTCTGCCCTCGCCCCAGTCACTTCTGATCTGCCTTAAGGCAACTTGTCTTCACCCCAGATGCTTATTAAGGTCCTTCAGAACTCCATCCTTAGCAGTCAGTTACTCTTGTTAAAAAAAAGTGGTTTGTGGGCCCGGCCCAGTGGTGCACCGGTTAAGTGCACACCTTCCGCTTCTCTGTGGCCCAGGGTTCGCTGCTTCGGGTCCTGGGTGTGGACATGGCCCCGCGTGGCAAAAGCCATGCTGTAGTAGGCATCCCACGTATAAAGTAGAGGAAGGTGGGTATGGATGTTAGCTCAGGGCCAGTCTTCCTCAGCAAAAAGAGGAGGATTGGCAGTAGTTAGCTCAGGGCTAATCTTCCTCAAAAAAAAGAAAGTGGTTTGAGGATGGGCATGTAATGGCTGTCCTGCAGGCTACAACCCCCCCCCCCCAAAAAAAAAAAACTTAAACTCTCCTGGGACCAGAAATAATATCCTAGGCACTGTAAGCATCTCTAGTGGATCTATAGAGGGAATTTGCCTCATCTTTGGACATGCTATGAGTCTGAGAGTCAAAGGTTATCATTTTGCATTCAAGAGAGTAGACTGTGTGGGCCTGGTTTTCCACTCTTGTTCAAAGAACTTTTAGTTAGAGCCAGGTGGAAAGTTTCTGGCTTCTGATGCTGAACTATACACAGGTGACCTAATGCATGCAACCCATACCAGTTCTTTGTCATGATTATTCTGGGATGCTCTGAGCTTTGAGTTGGTCCTTGTCTAACCACGGAATTACTGCATGCCCTTTGGAGGTCTTTTCCTGTGCTCTTCCATGTCTAGATGTACTTGTGTTATTATATGATATCGGATTTCTCCAAAGAATGCCATCGCCATTGGCTATTCATTTGTGTGCACCAACATTATTATTTACTGTGCTTAGTCCATTTTGTAGTATTTAGTGGACTTCACTAGAAGTTCAGCCTTCTTGGCAGGCATCTTTCCCCTTGGCCACAGAGAAACCCTGTATTTCTCTAGATCCTGCCAAGAGATGGGAATGCAACAGGAGCAGCTGAAGATACGAAAATGACTAGCAACAAAACAGACATCAGATTCAGAAAAATGCTGGAAAAGACATTTCAGCAGAAGCAGTTCTCTTTTGACATTGAAAATTCTACAGGATTCAGTGATAGGTTGGCTTCCACATGGCAATGTTGAACAGGAAAAAAAGAGCTGTATGTATATTGACGTGTGATTTAATATTTTAAACATAGAAGATAGAACTCTGACTATAAATTTTACTCTTAGACCCATGTGGATGATTAATATCACATGCTGGAATACATGGATATAATGGGAAGAGAACAGAGACTTCTAATGTAGTTCCATTTTTAACCAGACACAAATAAAACTTCAGGACTTCACCAAAAAAAAAAAAAAGAAAAAAGAATCTAGTGGGTGGGTGATGTCAGCACCTAAATTTCTG